GAAAAATGCAAAAAACAACAATAATCAAGATTATACATCCACCAAAAACAAACACTCTCCTTTAGCATTTCTCGACAACTATGTACTCTATTTGTCAAATGACTGACTTCACAAAGTGAACAATCATCATTCACTATTACCATGAATATTTTGAGCAATAGTCAAAACAATATCGAACTTAGTACTATAAAAACAACAATCATTGAAGTAGAGGACTTGCCAGAAAAACTAATGAACTGAGAGCATTTAATGATTCAGGTGATAAAAAAACTGCTTCACAAACTTGATCTTTATGTTATTTCAACAAAGTTATTACTTTATATATTATGATATGTTGATCGAGTCAATTCAAATTGACAGTTTCATGCAATCATTAAAACTTGCATTTTTATGACTTACAAGATTTTTGATATTCCATCGAATTTAATTCTCAAAAGACTTCGACTGAGTCAATGGTTACCAATAATTACAATCACATGGTGAATTATCATGACTTTTATGTTATCAGAAACATATAGATTTATGTTATGGTATTACATATTTTTAGATGCCAGTTTTTATCCATGAAGTTAATGCAAAAAATGTGAATTCTCGTGGCGTATAACTATACTTTGCTTTGTTACCGGATTAGCTGGTAAATTTTGTAATGTTCTTGTTTTCATCATCAGTTAGATCAAGGGATTCAGTGGATAAGAGGGATGGTAATGAATCTTTTAATACCAAAGACATCGCTACTGTTATTGTCGAACATGGTTCTTCGTTTTAGTCAATGACTATTCATGCAATTGACCAAAATCCTCAACAGAAGAAGAATGTGATTGAACCATTGGTCGTTTACAAAGCAATGCTGAACCTAATCTAGATGAACATTTCAGTTGGAAACAAGTTCTTATAATATTTTTAGATTGGAAAATTCACGTCTTATGAATATATACTGCATGGGTATCATTGAGCCATTCTGCTCTCTTTCACTGTTTTTTCTTCAATCATTGTTTAAAGTTTTGATTTCAAAAGTTATCGTGTTTAACTTATGATTGCATGTCCACACACATTTTTGTTCATAAATACAATAGCAATAGTCTATTTTTCTTATTGATATGCTCAATGTGCAATTTTTACATTATTTTTATTGATAAAAAGTATGATTGATTTTATGTAGTAAGATATATTACTTTTGTTTCAAGCAATATTAGTTCATGCACAATATGAGTTATTCCATTCGTTTTTATGTTATCTATACACAGCAATGGTGAAACCATTAGTGATCAAATTTATTGATTACAAGATGTACTTCTCTTTATTCGTAGTCATAGAATCAATCTTAGTCTATGTATGATAGGTTTAATCATGGCTTATATATTATTTACAAATCTTTGATTAGAAAATCATCGTCATGATCGTTTATATTGTCCTATAGCTACTCATAGTAGCAAAATAACTCTTGGAACATAAAATTCAAACAAAAACAAAATGATAAATGTGTTCAGATTGGGAAATGACGAAGATTCAACAAAAATAGAACTGTGTGGATATTCGGGAAAAACGAATTCAAAATGTAGATACTAAATCTGCAGATCGATGTTATATTATAAGTGCATTTGTTTTTATTTGTTCAAAATTGAAGATCCCTTTTTAATAAATGTCATAGTCAATAACATTTTCTATGTAGTAAAGATATTTTCCATCGTTCAAACACGAATGAAGCATAGATAACATCATTTAACGTGTTACAGACATTAGTTGATCGCTTGAAAATATCTGAGGATAACTGTAACAAGTAATGTGAAAAGTGAATTATATTATTTCAGAAAAAATTTCATCGAATTTATATATTTTAAGTTCTTCTTAGTTCTAATTTTAGATAATTCATAAAGGATTTAACGATACTAGCAAATCTTAGAAACAGTTATAGATATTTTATGTTTCTAGAGATTTTTTTCTTCTCTATTTATTGTATATTTTCGATGATGAAAACTATAGATAGATTCTTATATGTATTCTATCCTTTCTGTTTATTAATATAGACTATATAATGTATGTAGACTTGTGTTTACATTATTTCTATATTATTTAAAAATTTCTTCCTTATATTTTATTATTCATATATAATTCGATATCAGTTTATATCTAGAGTTATCTAGCTCACATGATGAAACATGAATAATATAATATATATTTATTAATTCGAAATTTATCTGCGTTTGTCTACTTTCACAAGAATGGAATAAAGTTTTGTGCAATTGTTTTTTTAGATAATATTTTTTGTCTTGTGCTTTAGTTATCTTATGCAGTTCGTTAAAATCTTCAGAGATCAATATTAACATTTCGTATTTTATTTTGAAAAAAAAGATATCTATTGTCAATATTGTCTTTTTTAATGTCTATGAGTCATGCACTCTTAACAAGTGACACATTGACAACTTTAATGGATATTTACATTGCTGTATCGAATGGTTGTTATGATTGAATTTATTAGTATTTAAATGGGCGAGTGTGAAGTAGCATTGTTGTTCTCAAGTCTTGAGGAAATTCCTGAGAACGGCGAAGAATATTTAAAATCTCGATCTTTCGCAGTAGTAGTGTTATTTTCATTCACTCTAATACATAATGATTTTTGAATGAGTTTTACAGCTGAAAATAGATGATGAAAAGTAGTACCGTCTTTATTTTAAAAAAATCTTATGTAAATTCTGCCATAAAGCTCTGCGAGAAACTGCTTTAGTTATCTTGATCATTTTGACATGAAAGGTGGAATCCGACTATTTATCTGTTGAAACTATGCTTGTTTTACTGCGAAATTCGACATTGATGTTGAGAATGTTGTTCAAACTTGATATGTTGTGCTTTCTTTGTAAACTAATTTTGTGATATTCACAGTAGCTAGTCTAGTCGATGGGTATGTATCAATGTAACCGAAAGAAAAAATGGCGAAAAAAAGGTAAAATCTTTTTTTTTCTATTCTTTCATTCGCTAATTTTTCTTTGGACCAAATTCACACTATTCGATCGATGTTGGCTGTCATTGTAATTGTTCGAAATCGTCTTTTTAGTTTATTTTAATGAAGAAAGATCATCGGATAGTTCAATTATTTTTCTTGTGAAAAAATCTGAATAGTTGATTTATATATCATAGCAACTTGATAAAAATATACATGATTCATATGGATAGGATAATTTTCATGCATTATCACATATCATCAATGACAGCTGACAATCCTCGATATTTTTCTTGTCTATTAAATATTCATATTCAAGCCTCTCACTATAAACAAACAACAAAAAAAACAAAGAATCAAAGCTATTTGTCCAACATAGTACATGTAGTGAAAATTCAAACTGTTCGAAAAAAGAATATACGTACATTGACAGATGAATTCATATCAACCAAACAATGCATTTTCTTGCTCAGTATCTTATTCAAACATTCTTTAGTTCTACTGATAAATACTATGTGAGAATTGTGGTTGAATTCTAGAATTTTATTGAATAAAAACTATAGGACATATTAGGTAGTTTCTCTCGTAGCTTTACTCTGGTAAGTGACAGAACGTTTTTATTTTTTTCGAATGGACAAAAATAAAAGAAAAAGTCGGAGCGTCATGAATCACACAGCTGCAAACGAAAAAGCTAATAAACGTGTAGTGATGATCAATAGAAATCAATTAGTTTATTTTCAATATGTTCTATTAGGGATTAATACATAATTTTGAACCACACTTGTTAGGACAGCATTTTTTTCCGCATGGACAATCGTAGTCAACATCACAAAAATGTCCATCACATAAATACCAATCGTTATTATCTTGATCGGAATCTTGCGGTGGGCATGTACCATTTTTGTCTATTTTGTCTTTGCCAACGAGACACTGATATCCACATGGTTTTAGAGGCGTATAACAACATTTCATGCCGGCATCACAAGTATCACTTTCAGGTTTACATTCATCAGCACATGGTTCTTCTGGACGAACGAATCCATAGCCAGGACATACTGATTCTGGATTGGCAATGGCGATAATTGACAATACTACAAAAATGTATACAATACGTGACATATTAGTGTAAGATGAAAAAAATATGAATAACGCTGTTTTTTTGTAACCATTTTATAGTGACACACGGATAAAGAAAAGACGAAAAATAAAACAGAAAAATAAAAAAACAAACATTAGCTCGTAAAACCTATTGTTATTGATTGGTATAATGTAGTTATGTTATAATCATCAGATTCAAATAAAATACTAAATAAATATTTATTATAAATAGAATAAATGACGTAGTTAACAACATGCATGACAAATAAATGTTGATTTGCATCACATTCACTTTCTTATATAATACAAATCCTGACATATGTACATG